TGGTTAGAAGGTTACAAGGATGAAAAATTAAGCCTTGAGTTTTTGTCCCTCTTGGAAATGTTTTCTCCTCATAGAAATAAATATCTAAATCAAACAGAAGGTGTCAGTGCTTTTTTCCCCTTTTTGGGAGAAATCCTTTATGGATTTCTCCTGCCAAAGTCAAATTCAAAACAAAACTTAGGCGAAAGGGAAACTACAGGAGACGTAGTGAGTAACCATTCTTTCCCAGAGCATCAGATTTCCAGCACTGTTCTGCCAGAGCCTTATCCTGTACACTACATCATTCCTGAGTTCTTATTCTGATGTTATTTCAGCCTTCTCATTTGCATTTCAGTGGATAAAAATGGAGAGGATTTACAGAACCTGCTGCACTGCAATGAGTTCTCTCTGAGAACAAAACTAGTCCAAACCTTGGAGTTTCCCAGTCTCAAGTAACAATGTGAGTCTCTAACTTTGCTTTGTGATTTTCTTTGTCTTTTTTCTTTTTTTGACCCAGAAGGAAAACAGAATAAACCCCATTATCAATGAAAATAGATATATAAAATACCTCTAGAATAGATATCTAAAATAGAGAGATACAGTTTTTCACTCCTAAATTCTATTATATTTACAGAGTTTTTTTTGCACTTTACAGGAACCACTAAAACATTCCTCTGGCACCTGCCAGTGCATGGATTCTAATGCATTCTGACTGCATACAGGCACAAGACTGGATCTCAGCCTCTCTGAGGACAACTGCAGGAGGAATAATAGCCTGAAACCAAAATAATGCCTGGAGGATACATGTGGTATTAGGGAACAATTCCTCCATCAATATTGACAAGAAAAGGATTGCTACTAGGAAAAGAAATCTCTGCTTGGATGAGCAACTAGGAAATGATGGAAGAATGGTCAAAATCAACTGGAGGCAGCAAATAAAGCAGAGAATTCATCAGCAGAGTGCAAAGCATCAGGCGTGGAAAGCCAGCTGTCAGTTCTGAGAATGCTCATGCATCTGCTTTGGGTCTGGCTCCCAGCAAAGGGACAAGGCAAGGGAACAGTGAGAAAGGCTAATGTCTCATCCAAGCCATCAGCCTCATCCTGCTTGTGCATCTGAGAGCCACAGATTTGCTTCTGCAGCACCTGAACAGCAGCTTGAATTAGCAATAAGGTCATTAAGCTTGTCTTGGTAAGGAGCTCCATGCAAACACCTCTCAACCTGCCCCAGGACACCAGGAGCAGTCTCAGTGTTGAAGGGCTGTGAAGTGCACAGGGGAGTGATGAGCTGCTTGCAGAGGTTCTCCTCTGCCTTCCCATTCTGCAAAGAGGACAAAACCCTTCCTACCAAATTCAGCACGGATGGGAGCAG